GAAAACGATATTCATCGTAACTAACTCGTTTTTTTTGTACGCGTTTCTTTATCTTATTTATTGATCAAATTTTACATAACATACATAAATACAATTTCATGTATAAAATGTACATCTTTAAGCAAATGGAACGCACGAAAGTACAAGCAAAATTTTCTTCGACACGTTCAGGATGGTTTATTCAATGTTTTTATAATGTTTTTATAATTAACATTAAAACAAGAATACACATTTGAGCACAAATCCACACGATATAAATGTGGATTTTTATGAATCTATTGTTTAAAAAATAGCGATCAAAAAATATGCCGTCCTGATCGTGTAGCACATGACACGTGTATCATACGTATAACATAGTAGAACCTCGTTATAATAAATATATATACAATCATTTATACCTTCCATATATATCTTTTGACTTTTTAATTAATAATTATTTACACAATGATATGAATGAATTTAAAAATAAATATTTACAAATCAGATCTAACTTTAATTCGCTATCTCAGCTATTTAATTAATTTTCAAACAATCTAATAATAGACGAAGGTAATTAACGAATCTTTAATTATCAGCCCTCACAACTTCCTATTATCTTCCTATCATCGAATCGAATCGATATTCGAAATAAATTCGAGGTTCTACTACCAACACGAGAAATCAAGCAAGCAATTATGAAGAAACTATATTTTCCTCGCGACACAGTTTTCGTCACCACGATATTCACGACACCATATTTATTACGCGCTGCCATCTGTCGATCCAAGATAAAAGTTTTTCCCATTAGGAATAACCCAATGATGAACGTTGATCAAGTGTTTCTTCAACATCCATTTGTGGCGGATTTTCGTCCCGCACACTGGACAAGAGTGTTGCGGGTCCTTGCCGCATTCTTCTTTCTCGTGCCTAATCAGAGACTGCATCCATCTGTACTCCTTGCCACAATTCGAACAGAAGTGTCTCCCAAGTCTCTTGTAATAGTCTGAACCGCAGTAAGCTGAAAGAACAATGCAGTTTCTGTAATTGCGTTCAGTTTTTCATTCGAATAACTTCTTAGCGTTTGCTATCACGTATATCCGCTCCTTTAAATGCAAAAAGAGAAAAATAAAATAAATAAAAAAAAATATATATATATATATATAAAATAAATTTGTATACAAGATGCTGCTGGATGAAGATAGAAAATTTAAAACGATTCTTGAGATTGAGACAAGTACTTTACGAAAATTTGTTACGCAAAACAACTTGTTGTGTTCAAGTTTGTTTTTCAAGTTATATATACGCAATTATTTTTACACTATGGAGAAAAGGAGATAGAATTTATAACTTGATAAACAAATTTGCATAATCAATTTTCGTCTTTGTTCTCTAACCTCCAGAATTATTCTTTAAATTTTGCTTCGTTTATATTCTTTATATAATTACGACCTATTACGAGCGCAATAATTCAAAACACAGCTTTGACTTTCGATTGAAAAAACGCTTTATTTAAATTGCGAGGTTTTATTTTTTAAATCGTTCCATCTCATTTTCTTTGCTTTGATTAAAAATTCAACGCGTTCAAATGGCGAAATGTTGAATCGTTATATCAATTGTTGGGATGCATTCAACCGGGTATTCCATTCCATTGCATTATAGCCAGTTTTCCATTATTAATTCTAATTTATTTTTAATCTTTTATTTTTTTATTTTCAGAAATATTGACGTATACGTTCTTTTTTTTTTTCTTTTTTTTCATTTTTTTATTTTCGATATCCGTTTCCACGAATCATTCGCACCACATAATATCATTTATTCATGCGAGAGCAAACGTATCATCGCTAGCTAGCATTTACGCCGTATTTACAGTGTCGCACATTTCTCGAAATTTGACAGTTTGAGTCTTATATAAAACGTGTTGTGTTCTCGAAACACGTAGAACACACACACACACACACACACACATATATATAATATATATATAAAAATTTCTATATACATATTCTAAACGTATAAAAAGTGTTAAACGTTACGTTAGAAAAGTTACGGTTACAATGTGCGAACACGACGACTCGATGATCCAAAACATAAATTATACAGGACATTTGATTTTATATATAATTAACAAATTATATATAACATTTATTACGAATTATCTCTCGAGATAATTGGTATCGTATTTAGATAATTCAATAATCCAAATTCACAATTCGAAAAATCAAATCAAAAAAAATTTCTTTTATATATATATATATATATATGTATATATATTACAGCGATGCAATGACATTTTTGATGCAACAACGGTATCAGTCTTATGTATATAAACAAATCGATAATTGCGTTTCCACAATCGATCGAGACACGTTAACACAGACGACGAAACGCATCTCTTCTCATCTCTTCTCGTATATAGGAATGTTTGAAAAAAAAAGAACGATTCTTTCGAAGCGATTGGACTTTTTTTCCAGAAAAAAAAAAAAAAAAAGAAAAGAATCACGACGATCGATAAAAAATATCGATCTCCTACCAAAAAAAAAAAAAAAGAAAAACGGACAAAGCTTGATCGAAGTATCTCTCTCTTTCTTGGAAAAGGAACACAAAGCTCGAACGTTCTCGACGGAATAGTTTAGGAAGCGTATCATATTTTATATTATTCATTCGCGTATTCATTCATTCCGCTTTGTGAACGTTGTTCTCGTGGCGCAACAGATAATCCCTGCGTTTGAATTTTCTACCGCACAGGGTACACTTATGCCTTGGCAACTTCCCGCAGCCCTCCCGAAGGTGTCTCGTCAAGGAGTCGGTCCATGTGTAACGTTTCCCGCATTTGTAACAGGTGAACGGCGCGTCGTAGTTGACGCGATTGTGGTCCCTCTTCGAGTCTGAAACAGATGACAAAGGGAAACGAGAGATTAACGAGATTAACAAGAGTCGCCGGTAATCCTTGATCCCCTAGCACGGGTAGTGAATCGTCTTTTTGTTTCGTTTTATTTTATTCTTTCTTTTTCTTTTTTTTCTTTTCTTTTTTTTTTTTTTTCACGTTGAAAGAGTTCCAACAGACAGGCATGTTTGCAACGAGGAAGGAAGACGCTTCGTTAAGGATTCGACGAACTCGAAGGGGGATCGAGGAGGAGAGAGAGTCGAAGAAATATCAGCCGAGTTTAATACATTCTTCTTTATTGTTTCCAATTAAGTGAACCAGTCTATGCTACTTGCCAGACAACGAATATATCTCGCAATTAATTAGGTTAATCGGCGAGTTGGAGCGAGGGTCTAATTAAGACCCTTTCCACGTGCAGAACCATGTCGCAGAATTTATTATAATCGAGCCTTCTGGGACGTTCTCCTAAGGATCTGTGTTCCGATGTTTCGTCAGGATTGCGGCTACACCTCTTCAAAGGAAGGAACATCGATGAAAGGATCCTCGAAAAAATTCGGAGAATTTTTGTTAAATTCGATCCACGAATTTCTAAAAAGTGATCTCTAAATTGGATTTAATAGAGATTCAAAGTATCCTTTTTTTTTTTTTGTAAATTTAAGGAATCCAATCAGCAAGACGAAGAATCTTCCGATTCGTCTCTGAGTTAATCGCTTTGTCCACCGATTTGTGGAATTTCGTATCGATTTCTGACGAAAGTGGCCGCAATACTGGCCGAAGCATCGCGTGAGAGACTTCGATTTTTCGAGCAACGAGATTACCGATGATATTCAACAAAGATTAAACGCCTCCAAAAAAAAGGAAAAAAGGAAAAAAAAAAAAAAAAAAAAGAATCGTTTCCTTTCGAACGAGGAAAACTCAATGGAATTTCCTCAAATGGGACGTGAGCACCTGCTTGTGACGAAATTTTCTCCCGCACACCGAACACGTGTACTTGGGCTCCACGCCGCACTCGTATTTCAAGTGTTTGTTCAACGAATCCCGCCAACGATACTGCCTCCCGCAATTTTTGCATTTCGCCCTTTGCTGCTTGCCGCACTCCTCCCTCAAGTGCCGATGGTAAGAGGACTTCCACGAATAGGATTTACCGCACATCCCGCACTGGTAGAGCGCGTAGTTCCCCTTGTTGTCGCGTCTTATCATCCTGGCCCATCCTGAAATCGTAATTCGCCCGTTAGATCCATCGATCGCCTCTTCCAAAAAAAAAAAAAAAAAAAAAAACGAATGATCGTCACGTCCTCCTGCCCTACTAATCGCGGTGCCTAATCGATCTCGTCTGTCCAACACGTTGTATACGGATTATACAACATGTTCCGTATAAACAATGTCGAAATTAATATCGAATTCGAAATTAGTCGATCGTGGATTAGGGGATCGAATGGAAAGAATTTTCGATTTTTAACTAACCGATCTGAAACTGATTTGTTCAGCGTCGTCGTCGTCGTCGTCGTGTTCGAAAGAACAGAGAGGGGGGGGGGATCGATTTAAACGAGACATCTTGTACAACTTCTGTTAAGCAAGAAGCGGTTATACAGGGTACATTGAGTAAAAAATATAGCGATCGAGCCAAGTGCTAATTATAAAAAGAAATACGGAGAATCGTGTCTTTTTTTTATTTTGCGGTGTTGTACAGAGTTAGGTCGGGGCCTTGCCTGAACGATGATGGGTGGAAGGATGGAAGGATCATTGATATTGTGCGAATCAGACCTTCAGATCAATCTTCCACTTCTCTCGATCGTCCGAGGAACAACCCGATTTTGGAACAATCTGATTCCTCGAGAGCTTGAGGATCAAACCTGAAATCAAGATCAAAAAGTTGATTATATGCCGATAATTATTTCCCAGTAAGTCAAATCTTCCATGCTGGATCTGAAATGTTATATAGGTTTTTTTTTCTACTCGATGTACAACGCGATGAAAGAAAAATTACGTTAATCCCTTGTCCTACAACAACGAGTGAGACTCGTGGTAAGAAATTTGAGCTAAAAAGTTATAAACACGAGTCTGACTCGTGGTACTTCGTTCGGACCAAATGTAAACAATACGAGCCTGACTCGTGGCTATTTCATTGGAACCAAACGTAAACAACACGAGGTTGACTCGTGGCTATTTCATTGGAATCGAATGTAAGGACAAGAGGTTAACGATAATTCGCAAAAGAGAGAAAAAAAAGGAACTGAAAACGATCAAAACGCCTCTTCTTGTAAACTAATGAACAAAGAAGGGTCTGAAAAAAAAAATAAGTGGAAAGAAAATAAATAGGATCGCTCGATGAACAAGTTTGGCTCGACGAAGGAAATAGATGATTTGTGACGTGGAGATCATCTTCCATGATGATCGGATATATTCTTCTTCGTTTTTTCTTCTTCGTCTTCGACGGATGTCGCATCTTCGAATAATTTCGAAGATGTTGAATCTTCGGGTGGTATGCAAAGTGATTTTGGAGAAATTCGAAAAATCTAAAAGACATGATTTACCCTTGCAATCGTGTACTTCGATATTTATAATAAAATTATAATAAACTATGATAACAATACACGTTGCGAAACTAGTGTATACGTATTATAACCAAGGCCTCGGGCAAACATTGTTGTCACGAATTTTTCTTTTCAAATGCCGTACAATAATTGTTCAACGTATCACAGAACATTTTTCTTTTTTTTTTTTTCTTTTCATAGAATGAAATATATATATGTGTATGTGTATATATATATATATATTTTTTCTTTCTTAAAATTAATTTAACGTCGCACTTTCTTCGAAGCTGAATTCGCATTCATTGCTCGCTTGTTAAAACAATTTGATTCGTATTATTATATATATATATAAATCCGATAAATCGAATTTTTCTCGCTCCTTTCTCTTGTATCGATAAAGAGAGCGTTAAAATTGGCAAAAGGCGCCGCAAATACCAAAAAAAAAAAAAAAAAATAAAGTACAATTTCGAAACAAAAACAAGAAAATTTCGTGTAAGATCGCATTAAATTTTCGAACCTTGCACGCGCCAACCTTGTCTATTAATTACTTGCTATTTAATTGTATGTATTCGATTCACTTGATAATGTAACATAGTTGCATTAAAAAAAAAAAGAGAGAGAGAGAGAGAGAGAGAGAGAAGG